ATCGACCAACTATTGACCAACTCAGTAATTACTTAGAAACAACCAAAAAACAACCTTAAACCAACCTTAAAACTAACTAACTATCARCAAGCTATCACCTAACTATCAGCTAAATCTCCAGTATTTACAAAAGCGATGAAGTAGATGAACCAACCAATCTATTTACAGCCATCAGTCGGGTTCAAGARAGAGGCTCATATAAAAAAAGCAGTAAAGCTCAGTTGTGATCGTCCCCCTTCGTCCTGGACCATTGAGAACAAGCCCGAGAAGGCCCCCCAGTGAGTAGCAAACAGTCTCAKTGATTTGGCAGAATATCCCTTCTTTTGAACTTTATATTCCCAGTCTGCAAGAATCGCCTGCTTGATGCCGTATTTGACTTCCGCTCTAATCATAGGAGCTGTTAATCGTTCTCCCCTTCTCACCGCCGAATTTCTCAATGTCCACAAGGTCCATAGGATAGCTCCTCTGATTCTCTTCTGCATAACTCATCACACTCCCCCGGCGCGTCCTACGGGCCAGATCCCATGAGGACAAACTGGTCAGTCCACCGTGTTTCGGCTTCCGGGACAGGAACCATTCCTCCCCTCCACCAGTCCCAGAAAGGTCGGGAAAGGTCGCAAAGGAGAACGAAATGGTGCAAATCTTCAATCCTCGTCCCCGGACATATTTCACAACCAGGGAGTGCTTTAGATGTCCTCCTAGAACACCATGCCGCCACCGGAAGGGACATATGCATCAGCAGCCACAACAGGCTCGCATGTTTAACCACTGCCAAATCCATTAATTGTTTCCAAAACGCAGGCAGCGCTTGGGCAATTCTCAGCGATGAATCCTGAATCCAATTGGTTGTTGTCCATCTAGTTGCCACTCGCCAGTTGATGTCCATTTCTGGTGTTGATAGTTGATAACCCAATTTGGTGGAATACTGATACACCGGTACAATTTGGTGTCTCTTCTGAGGGTTCTCCCATCCCCAAGCCCTAGGGTCCACAGACAATGAGTAAGCCAGCTGAGACAGACAATACGGTTTGTAGCCATCATCATACTGCAACACACACACCGGAAGCAGTTCTTGAATAGGGGGAACTGGCAGCTGTTGAGGAGCTAAAGTAAGTTTTTCCCCAATTGACATCCCTCCTCCCTGCGTGTTCCAACAAGAAAACGAGATATTGGCCACCGGAGAATAGTCTTCCATTTTCCAAATCTCAGTCGGTTCATGGTCTTGTTCCCGTTTGTACCATGTTTCCTTYTGAAATGCCAGTCCTCCGGCCAACGTTTCAACCCAGTCTTGAGGAACTGCTTGTTGCAGYTGAATYAAGTGCTCYCTCTGATGCCACAGGCCTACAAGGGCTGCAGCGAGATCTGTAAATGGCTTCCAGTCCGCACTGTTCACATCCCAAATATCAGCAACAGTCCCTATGCCTCGCGATATCCACACGTCCCCGAAAGCCCCGGGCCCAAAGAAAGCAAAAGTGGAGCCATTTTGTGAAAGAATGTTGGGGTTTTCGAACAAGGGCTGCGTGAGCAATCGGTCCATTAACAGTGGAGGCTGCAACAGTCTGGGGACCACCCGGTTCCAGGCTTTGAGCACACCTGCCCAGATCCCTTCCCCCATTCTTTTCCTAAGATAAAAAGGAAAGAAAATTGAAAGCCACAGATGTCTGACATTATTCCAGTTCCTATGGGTATAGATCTCGAATTCTGCCAACTGACGCCACGCTGCCAAAGGGCCCGGTGCCACAGCCCATGGGACCCACCGTGCCAATAATGCAATTATTTGCCGCTCCGGGTCCAATAACGACAAACCACCATTCCTTTTAGTATGAGTGATCACTTCCCATGCAACTTTCGGCAAAAAATTTTGTTCATTCATTTCTTCTTTCCACAAGTAATGAGTCAACAGATTACGGATCACTCGAAGGGAGGCAACATCTAGCTGGAAAATAGCTCTATGATACCAAATTGTAGAAATAACTGAATTGTTTAATACTATCACTCGGCCAAACAAGCTAACGCCTTTGTGCCGAATCCATGGTCGCAGTGCCTCTCTTACCGCCAACAAAGCCTGTGAAGAATTTGTCATCGGTTGCAGAGAAAAAAAGATTCTGTGACCCAGCAACCGCTCTTGTTGTGTAGGAACCACCACCCGAAGCCCCCATTGAGGGGTGGGGACCCCAGGCGGGATTAACACTGAAGACTTGGACCAGTTGACTGCAGCCTGGGACATCTGGCAAAAAAGGTCTACTCTCTGTTTCAGTGCTTGAAAAGCGTGATCGGACAACGGGGTTACTGCAACAGAATCATTAGCAAACGCCTCGGATTTCAGAGTTTGTCCGGAAGGAAGTAAAAAACCTGGTATAAGAGGATCTTCTCGGATCATAGCATGAAAAATCTCCACATACAGTATATACAGATAGGGGGCCACAGAGCAACCCTGACGAACAGATCTAGACAAAGGAATGGGACAGGACAGTGTTCCATTAACTGACAATCTAGAAAAAGCATTTGTAAATAAAGTATTGACCGCTCGTTTGAAGTTCAAGCCAAATCCGAATGTTGTCATCGCCGCCATAAGGAACTCCCAACCCACTCGATCGTACGCTTTTTGGAGGTCCTGCAGAATTATAGCCAGTTGTTCTTCACCGTCAGCCACCAATTGTATGATTTGTTGAACTGTCATCACGTTATGCAGGATCTGCCTGTCGAGCAGAAAACCCGTCTGAGTTGGATGGATCAAGAACGGCAGCACAACTTGTAATCTGGCCGCCAATATTTTGTCAAAAATCTTGTAAATTACTGGCATTAGTGTGATTGGTCGGTAGTTACGCACGTCGGTCAAATCTCCTTTTTTGGGTATAAAGGTTATAATTCCTTCCAGCGCAGCTGGCGACATCGGTGCCCCTGCCCAAGTCGACTTACAGATGCGAAACAAGTCCGACAAAAATTGAGGACTGAATCTTTTAAACAAAACAGAGGGGAGCCCATCCCCCCCTGACATCTTGTGAGCGGACAAGGATTTGACTGCTTGTGTAACTTCGGTGATCGTGATATCTGCCTCCAAATATTGTGACTGTCCGTCCGTCAGTTTGCACTCCACCATCGACCAAACTTCATCCGTGTATTGGTGGAGCAGCTCTTCCTCTGAACACTGCGCCTGTGACGTCAACAAGCTCTCATAAAATAATGAAACATTTTGAATTATTGACGCAGTATCTGTCGCGACCGGCACTTGATCTTGAAAAGGGTGCTTCATGGCTAGCATAAGCCGCGGGTTATGGCGGGGGCGGTGACCATCAAAAAAGGATGCTGTCATTTTATCTCCTTTAACCAACCAGGCTATCTTCTTCCTATGTACCATCGTGCGTATGGCTGGTTGTGTCTGAAACGTCTATTTTTGTCTGATTGAATCCATTGCCCCCATGATTTTCAATTCATCACCCTGAGCATCCGCCGCTTTTTTCATCAAGTCTGCTAAATGATCATTAAGTCTAGCCAGTTGCGTTCTTGTGTTTGCTGCAAGCATCTTTTTCATAGCCAATCCTCTAGCCAAGATCGTTCTCAAACCTCCTTGATACCAGTCAGCAAGAGAAGAAAAAAGGGATCTTGCTGAGCGCCAATGTGGCCAAAATTCACGCAAAAACAAACCAAAGTCCCGTGTAAAAAGTACCCATTCAGGTAAGACAACACGACCAGTTCCCGCCCTAACTGTGGGATGTAAGAAGAATTCCAAAAAAAGGGGGAGGTGATCAGAACCTCCGCAAGGAACCACAAAACATCTAGAAAGTCTATGCAACAACGCGTCCGACACCATAAACAAATCTATTCTACTTCGTGGAATATATGCCTTTTCTCTTGCACCAGCAGCGAAAAAGGTTATACCTTTTTCGAAGGGGTGCAAGAGTCGAAAAACATCTGAAAATCCTTGGACCGAGCAGAATTCAGAGAGATAAACTGCATCGGCCGATGTCGGACCCGGTTTGAAAGAGTCTACCCCCGGTATGAACACCGTGTTCCAATCACCACCCAAAACAAGGTTATCCACCGCCGGTAATTTCCATGGCAATGATCTAAACAGCTCTATTCTAGCTTGTGGAGAGGTGGGGGCATACAGATTAAAGATTGCCCATTCCTGTTGACACATTGTAAATCTCACCCAGATCCATCTACCCAAGTGGTCCATCCTGTAATCAGTGACCTCAGTTTGTGCCACATGGGCAAACAACACTGCCACTCCGCCTCTGGTCCCTTGGGCCGGGGCCCAAAACCGTTGGCCCGGCCACCATCCCATCTGTTCCATAATAGCGTCTTCATCCAATTTCGTTTCTTGCAGCAAGACAACCTGCGCCCCTTTGTTCCTTGCCAATGTCTTGATGAGGGATCTTTTAACTGCTACCCTACGGGACCCGAGGCCACGAACATTCCAAGAAATAATTCGTAATTTGTCCATTAGTCTCAGTCGGTCCAGTCGTTACACTTGAGCATAAGAAAATTATTAGAAAAAATAGTCTTGTGTCACGGGATGTTCGCATCCACCTGCTTCAAAATTCCCCCATTCCAACAGTCGTAAATTTTTGTACCAAGTGCAGTCTGTCCTGTCGGATTGTTGAAAAGAGCAATCGGTATCCATCTCAGGCCTTTCAGTAGCGCTTGCGCTCTTGACGCCGGATTAGTCACCACGTCTATGATAGGAAAGTAAAGAATATCAGTCCTTCCTTCATTGTTGGTTGGGGTGAGTCTGACCCAATCCATTTCCGGATTACGCCCTCAGTTTAAAGGCCGGAGTCAACCATTTTGTGATTTCTCTAAAGACAGATCCAGGCATAGGATCTTTATGAAGTTCAAAATGTGGAATCGCCAAATCACCTTGGTCGGACATTGCCGCCATAACATTGAGCTCGCCATCTGTTGCTGAGAAGATAAGAGGAACAACTACACAGGGCTTCCCTCCCGCTATCGCATCGAGTATTGAGCCTGGAAAAACTGTTGCTCGTGTGTGATGTTGCTGTTGCTGTATTTTATCCTGATGTTGGGACTGAACCACTGTTTCAATCAGTTTACCTTTATTTTTTTTAATTTGTCGCTGATCTGTTTGAGTCTGGCCTTGTTGCAAAACGTGTTCTGTGATCCCAGGTTGTTCCGTTTCATCTTCATCATCCAGTATGTCTGCCCACTCCACTCTCTCTTTGTTGTTATCTGTCTGATCCCCTTTTCCCGGCTTATCATACGGTTTATAAGGCATTTTCTTCGGTCCTCCAACCAGTATTTTGCGGCGAGGAACTTGAAGGGAACTTTTCTGTTGGAGCATCATCTCGCTCCAGCATCGCCCATAATCATGACACTTTTCTCAGTTTCCATCCTCTCCTGGGTAGGATGATCAGGCTGCAGCCCACCCCCCGTTCCTCCCAGTACCGAAGGTGATCCCCGGCTCCCACAAAGGTAGGTACCGCTGCTCCCACCGGAGAAGGGACACTCCCAGCCCCCGCAGTGGCCGGTGTGGCACCTCCCAGTGGGAGAGGAATGCTTCCAGTCCCAGCTGGGACAGGCAGATGGCCTCCTGTTGCCGTCGTGGTGGGATCCTTCTCAACCCCAGTCGGGACCCAGGCAGGACCTCCCCCAGACCCAACCGGGGCCGGGGGTGGTCCTGCACCGCCAACCGTTGCTGATGAAGAACCTCCCCCAGACCCAACCGGAGCTGAGGGCAGTCCCGCTCCGCCAACCATTGCTGACGAAGGTCCAGCCCCAGGCGAGCCCTTCGTAGGGACTGGCAGAGCTTCAACCCTTTCCTGTCTATTCGGGCACTGCTTATCACCAGTGACATGACCAAACCATCTGCAATCACGGCACCACGGTGTTTCTTGTGTAAATATCTCAATAGTATGCATCCCGTGAGGAGATCGCACCTTAAGATTTTTGGTAACCCTTGTCGTGGATCTAAGGTGGAGGTCATACCTGCGGTTCATCAATCTGGGAGCCACCTTGTTCCTCTCTGGCGGATAATCTTTTATGACCTCTCCAAATTCCTTTATCACAGCGGCCTTAAGAAAAGGCATAACCAAATATGGAACTCTCACTGCTCTTATCCAAAAGCGTTGAGTTTGCAAATCTTGTCTGGCTTGCTCCTGCTCCACTTGTGTGGCCCATGGTCGATACATCACCTTGCATGGTTTCCCATCCACCAGCGCATTATCCTCTTTTTTCAATGTATTCACCAACCAATCCCTCAAAACATGATTGACTGCCAGATATGATATCATATTCGCTCCCTCAGGTTTCACTCTACCAYGCTGTCCTCCCACCATATCCGAGTCCCATCCATTTTCCATAGTTCGTAGCCAGTGTTCTTTTGCAGCAAATGCAGCGTCTGCACCTGGCCCTTGAAAGACCACCAGCACACCATGTCGTCTCAAGTAATCCACTGTGATATCAGCTGCTCTAGGATCCAAGTCCACCACCACATCGTTCGAATCGTCCCTCGAAGTGACGATGTACTTTGCTGCCATATCTGAGTCCTCTTCTCCTGAGAGGAAACAATGTCTCACCATTTCACACAATTCGTTTTTTTGTTGGTCCATGGTTTACCAATTTTTATTATTTATACAGGTCGAAAAAATTTACAGTCAAGTTTTGCCTCAGGGTCACATCGAAATTCTTCACCAAACTTAGAATAAAAAATAAACTTTTTTTTTTTTTTTTTTTTTTTAATTTTTTGGCCCGGCCGGGCAAGTGACCCCGGGCCACTCTGGTAGCCTAGCTGATAGGTACATTTTCATTTTTTTTACTAATTATCAAAAAGGACTAAGGACTGTAACAGTAGAGATTTATTTGGTGTTGTTCTTCTCCCCCACTTTTTTTTCACTACTTGTTATAACAGGGGAGGGGCTCCACCTCACAGATTAGGCTTGGAGGCCTTGCGGCCCCTGAATATGTCTATTTATTTCAGCTGGTTTGTACTGCCTTGGGCACTGGGCCCTATTGGGAAAAAAAAAAAAAACTTCGTAGAAAAAAAAAAATAAAATAAAAAAAATCCACTTCCCAGCACGTGATGCTCCCGATGAATAGACCGGAGCTTTTTTTTTTTTCCCCACAGTAGACTTGGTGGTGGTGGACAGTTGAACCCCTCAAGAAAAAAGAAGAAAAAAAAAAGGAAAAATAAAAATAAAAATAAAAATAAAATAAAATAAAAAGAAAAAGAAAAAAGAAAAACAAAAGAAAAGAAAGTTGATCCCCTACTCTTTGAGAGCAATCACTAATTTAAAATCGCTGATCTTTGGGGAAAAAAAAAAAAAAAAAGCCGGGAAGCACAAACTACCCCGTTTTAATGAAGAATGCCAAAAATAGACCGTCGCGAAAAAAAAAGGGCCCCTTGCAACAGAAAAGTCACTAAAATCTTCTCTGTATCGTTTCAATTTTTTTATTTTTATTTTCTTTAAGATCGTTCCAATTTTAACGGATGTGGCCCCTGGCGCAAGGATGGCACGCATAAATCAAGAAAAGATACTTAAAAAAAAAAAAGGGGTAACTACGCGGGAGTCATAAAAACGAGTTATGATTGCACTATGGGGCAAGATATTGCAAACGCACTTCGGGCACCCCACCTGGCCAGAAAGCTGGGTTGTATACATTTTTTTTTGTGTGAAGAATTTCTTTCTCTTTTTTTTTTTTGTTCTTTTTTTCTGGGTTGTATACAGTGCCCGCGGAACCGCGTGGTCTGCCCGATTGGTTTGGTTGATAGGTCGGTCGGCTTTGCCGCCCTTTGTTTTTGCAACTTTCCTGGTGGACACTCTATAGAGGCTGGCCGGTGATGCCAAGCCTGATAGTGGAGTCCACCCGCCCATTTTGTAAAAAAAAAAAAAAAAGAAACGACTGGGGATTGAACTTGGAAACGCAATTTGAGTTTGAGTAAAAAAAAAAACAATTGCAAACTGTATTTTGGCCCATACTGCAATTTTTTTATTTCGTTTTTCTTTTTCTTACTGCAATTATTTTTGTGACTCCCGCGTAGTTTTCCCCAGGAAAAAAAAAACAACAGAAAGTTAAAAATAATCCAAGGATAAAGCACCTGGACATCGTCAGGCACACGTGCGCTTCATGTACTTGAGCATCTGCACGTCCTGGTGCATTCTATTCTGGGAATAGTTCCGGCGTTTATTCATTGTTATTATGAATTTATTATTTATATATATGACGATATATATATATACATATACATATATTTATATTTCTATTTGACGATATATATATATATATATATATATTTTTTTTTTTAAAACACAACTGGAGCTGTTAGTGATGTTGCTATGAACATCCACCACTAACAGCCCAGTTTCTAGCTCGGGTCTATTGGTGGGGAGCTGCACCTGCTGGAAAACGGGTCCAGCGTCCCTCATACAAATGATACTGATACATAACCAAGAAGACAGGAAATGTGGATAGTATGGAGGGCTGCCTCTTCAGCCAGAACATGGCCGCCAGATCCTCATGATGATGCTAGCTGAGCTACCTCCTTTATCTTGATCATTATGGGAATTCTGCAAATTGTTCAGTTTTACATTCTCCAACCGAAACTCTCGTCATTTCTTCTACTCAAGTCCAAACCAGCTCAGCGGGACCAAGCTTAAGGAGGAGGGAGGGAAAAGGTCTGGGAATTCTGAAAGGGGGCGAAAGGGTATAGCAGGGTCTACATTTGTCCATTCCTGAAACTTTAAACGGTAATCCTTGTGGATTTCTTCATTACAACCAGCCATTTTTTCGCCCCTGTCTCTGCCCCATATAATCTTCCCTACCTTGCCCCATTGAGGTCCTCCTAGCCATGCGCCACTGTATTTGTATACACCACATTACTTTTCTTTTCCAGGAAAAAAATATAAAAATTGTTACGAGTACAACCACCTCATTGCCCCCCTATCGACTTACAATCAAATTGCGTCGGGGTCCCAGTAGGCATCGGACTTGCTCCTTGTCACAAAAAAAAAAAAAAAAAAAAAAAAAAAAAGGCTCATCCATGCAGAGCATCCCCCCCTCTCCCTGTTCCCCCCACCCTTCTTTGTTCGATTACTAACGCAGTCATGTCCCTACCAAGACCACGCTCAACATTCCTAAAGTAGAAACCCTACACAAACTATTTTAATAAGATTCCCACTACCCGACAAAAAAAAGATTGCCAAAAGCAACATCTCACCCGGGGCGAGGTCCGACTAGAAGCAAAGAGGAGGAGAATTTAGACTAAACGCCTGAATCTGGACGTGTTTGCGGAGAGGTGCTCGAAATGATCGCGATTGATCTGCTCTTCTGCATCTCTGCGTAGAGCACGTCCAGATTCAGACGCTTAATCCATGGCAATCCTCTTCGACCGAACATTCCGTCGGGACGCTGGGAGCGTCTCGCAGCACGTGCTGCTCCCCACGAATAGATTGGAGCTTGGCTGTTTTTTTTTTCTTTTTTTTTCCTCAAAATTTTAAGCCAGCCACCAACCCTCGGGTTCATTGCCCGATGTCTGAGGAGCGGCGGCTGCACCGTTTTCTGTTTCCAAATTTCCCTTTTTTCTTAGCACATTAAAATGATCTTCATTATAAATAAAGGTAGCAACGAGTGGGAGGGGGCCTCTACCAACCGTCGGATAGCCCCCTCCA